TGAGTCCAGCTGGCTGCTCTTCTTGCCTTTCCCCAGCTTCCATTCCTGCTCCTGCCGTGCAGTCCAGCCTTCCTTTCCCTGGCCTTTGCCAAGCCCTGCTGTGAGCCTGTTCAGCTCACCGGCACACCAGCAATCGACCTGCCTCTTCTCCTGCCGGCTTTTTCATTCCTTCTGTGAATTCAAGCATCTCACAGGGGCTTTGGCAAACGCTACAGTCAGCACAAGGAAAACTGCAAAAAGCAGGAGGAAAAGAGGAGGATGACCCATGGAGTACTGGGTAGATTGTGCATGAGAAGTCACCTCATGGCCCTGACACGTGCACAGGCTGCAGTGGGGACACATTGCTCAGCATTGCCAAGGGCTTCCTGTGAAGCACCAATGATGGGGGTGATGATCCAGCTTGTGAAAAGTGCCTCTTCCATGTCCTGTGTCTCCTGCCTGTGCTCTCCAGACAAGCCCATGCAGATGAACCAGGCCTTGTTCATGTCCAGTGGCCAGTGTGGGTATGTCCTGCAGCCGACCAACATGAGGGACGACGTCTTTGACCCCTTTGACAAGAGCACGTTGCGGGGCACAGAACCGCTCTCCATTTCCATTGAGGTCAGTACCTCCTCCTGGTGTGGGGGAATGCAGGATCAGACCCCAGTGTTTATACCAGATTTGGGGTGAGAGAATGGTTTTTCTGGGCTCCTCAGCAAACCCCCTCAGCCCCTGTCCCACAGCACAGACTGGGAGAGCCCTTGCTGAAGAAGGGCACCCACAGGTGCTGCTCAGGGTGCCTGGAGAGGAGCAGCAGGGGCATCCCTGGATGCTCCCCCCAGGACTCCTCCTGTCCAGGTCCCAGTGCCAGCAGATGGCATCCATGAGCCACAGAGGTGGCAACCCCGTCCCCAGAGCCTGGCTGGGACTGCATCCACAGGCGAACAACACAAGAGCCGTGCCTTGTCCCCTCCTTGTCACTCACTTGCTCCAGGCTCGATGTTTCCATTTCCCCTTGCTCATGGCGGGATGCTGGAGGTCAGGGCAAACTTTTCAGGCCATTTCTGTGTTGTGCTGAGGGTGGGGGGGGTGCCAAAGGATGGGCTGTGGATGCTTGATGAATTTTTATTACTTCCCTAATGGTGGAACTGAGGCTGGATTGTTCCTGTCAGCTCTGAGAGCTGCACAGCAGAGGCTCTGCAGGGACATGGGACAGTTCACCAGGCAAAACTCTTGGAGGGCTGTGCCAAACCAGCTGGTTCTCATGTTTGGATCAGAGGGATCCAGTAGCCTGTACAGGTATTCCCTGTAGTCTTGGAACCAAGTTATGGGTCAAGACTCCCTTGGCTGGTGTAGACCTTGGAGAGGATGAAGTGGAGATCCTGCCTTTAGGTGCTCACAGGTTTCCTCTGCAGCCACCTCTGTTTCGGCGTGACCCCACCTAAAAAAGCCACAGCCTTTCTCCATGAGGACACCCCATTATGTGCCCTCTGCACCACTGACCTCATGCCCACTGTCTCCCTAAAAATTCCCTGTCCCCTCTGTTTTCCAAGCTCTTCCTGCACCTCAGGATGTGGCTGCCACCACCAAGTGTCAAGAGTCATTGTGCTGTATGCAGTCACTGTCGCCTTTAAGAGACAGGCTCAGCCTCTTGTTCTCTGGCAAAACTGCCTGCTGTCCCCACCAAAGCCAGCTCTCATGGATGGAGAAGCCATCTCGAGCTCAGCATGACTCAAAGCACATGATCCAGTGTTGGCAGCAGGTCCTTCCCCTGCAGCAGCAGCGTGCCGACAGCACGCTGGAGCGACATATGGCCACGGGCAAGAGGGAGCTGCGATTGCTTTCTCCTGCGAGGGAGCAGGTTGTCATTTGAGTGGAGCACAGACTGTGCTGCAGACACGAGGCAGAGCAGTGGTGGAGAGCAGCTCCTTTTCCTCCTTGCAGTAAGGCAGGAGGGCTGAGAAGTTTCAGCAAGGATGCAGGGGTCCAGCGCAGCGCTCCTGGCAGGGAACAGCGCTCGGCTGGGAGCCCAGCTCCAGCTTGGCAAGCTGGGGGAGGGATGCTGTGGCCCAGGCCTGGCTGTGCTGGCAGCAGGCAGGAACCTGGAGCAGTTCAACTGCTTTTTTTTATGGCTTACAAGTCAAACTGGGGCTCAAGAATGCTATAGGAGTTTCCAGGGGTGGGAGCTGTTTCTCTCCAAGATGCTGGGCTGGGCTGGCTGGCTCTGCTGCTTCTTTCTCCAATTAGCAGAGCCAGGGTGATTTATTTGGGAAGAAAATGTCTTGGTATGCAAACACATTTTTTCCCCCTTTGTTCCTGTCTGTTACCAAGTCTCTCCTGCTCTCTGCTCAGGTCCTGGGGGCCCGGCACCTTCCCAAAAATGGAAGGGGAATCGTTTGTCCTTTCGTGGAGGTGGAGGTGTCTGGTGCTGAGTATGACAACGCCAAGCAGAAAACAGAGATTGTGGGTGAGTGGGGTGGTGAAGGGAAGGGAGAGGGATGCAACAGCACTCCTGATGCTGGTGTGAGCCCTGGGCTCTGCAGCAAAGCCTGGTGCTCAGCTGGGAGCTGCCCTTGTGCTGCCCCCAAGCCCAACATCAGCCATGGGGGCAGTGTGAGGACTCAGTGGGGCTGCCACTGACAGCTCTGTTTTGTGAGCAGCTGACAACGGCCTGAACCCTCTCTGGACCCCGAAGCAGTTCCACTTTCAGGTCAGCAACCCTGACTTTGCCTTCCTCCGCTTTGTGGTCTATGAGGAGGACATGTTCAGCGATGAGAACTTCCTGGCTCAGGCCACCTTCCTGGTGAAAGGCTTGAAGACAGGTGAAGCACTTGGGACAGCAGGGAGGGGTCATGGTGGTTCTCACCCGTTCACACTGTTAGCCAGGGGGATGCTGAGTTTCATGGGAGGGTGTTGTTGGGCCCCAGGCTGGCTCAGTCCCTCTTGTCCCCATGACAGGTCACATTCTTAGCCAGTCAAAGGAAGGCAGAGCCATTTGCTAACATCCCTTGGGGCCAACTGGCACTTTGAAGGAAATCTGGGGGTTTGAAGGATCACAGAATCATAGACTGCTTTGGATTAGAAGGGACCCTAAAGGTCATCTTGTTTCAGCCCCACTACCCTGGGCAGGGACACCTTCCACTACCCCAGGTGGCTCTGAGCCCTGTCCAACCTGACCTTAGAGACTTCCAGGAATGGGGCAGCCACAGCTGCTATTGGCAGAAGAGAAAAAGGGTTTTGTGGGAGAAGGACCCCTTCAGCTCTGTGCCAGGGCACTGACACCTGACCTGTGCAGCGAGTGACACCAGGGCTGTCTCT